TTACCCTAAAAAGCCTACATATACTGTATATTGGCTGTTTCTGTTGCTTTGTGTTTTCTGGAACATTATTGCTGAGCCTCCCTTTTCTTGAGAGATATTGGTTGCATCTTTTACTTTGTGCTCCCTTTGTAGTGTGTTATCGTCTCTCATTTCTCTTAGTCTTTGTGGCGATTGTGTCGTTGTAATATCCCCTTACTTGTGTCCTCAGTGGGCAAGCCAAATAGCAACCGGTTTTGGGTGCGGGTTGTGGTTTGAGTTTTGTGACTTTGTGGTGTTGATTTTGGTATATATATGATGCCCCTGTTTGGCCCACATTAAATTCCATTACATTATATTAAATTTTTCTCTCTCTTCATTACAACCACATATTCATAAATAAAATAATATTACACACAAATCTAAAACTTTTCACTACTTTTCCACCACACATTCTCCCATCAATCACTATTCCAAAAATTTTCAACCATAAAAAATGCACAATAATGGGGGCCAAACAGGGGCTAAAGTATGTTATTAGATATCTCCAATNCACTACTTTTCCACCACACATTCTCTCATCAATCACTATTCCAAAAATTTTCAACCATAAAAAATGCACAATAATGGGGGCCAAACAGGGACGATATATTGAGCCCGGAATTCTTTGGTGATCCATTTTTCACTCAACAAAAATAAATTTTATTAGTGAAAAAGTACTATCATGGTGAATGAGTAATTTGTCTTTATTCTTGTCTTCTTTCCCGTTCTAAAGGAGATAAAAAGGCAGAGATAGAAATGAAGAAAATAGACATTTAACTTTGAAAGTTCATTGCTTGTTTGTCTTCGACAATCTTAAACATTTTCACAATAAAACCTTCACATTTTCTTTCAAAAGCTCTAAACTTTATGAAATGTCGTTTGGATCAATTACTATGTCCAAATCCTGTGAGGCATTCCCCACAAGACATTGAGAAAATATCATTCTACTCCAACAATGTTCACAAATGAATCTCTCTCTCTCTCTCTATTATGTAAATA